AAGCACATTTTCCTCGCCGACAATTTGAGCAAGTGCTCGCCAACATTCAATAATTAATTTGTTCTAAAATAATCAAATAAAGAGTCAGCAAGTAAAATTTAAGCTAATATTTTATAAAACGCTCAAAAAATATTCAAGTTACCGATCGATCTAAAGTAATTTTCTTGGCAGCACTTAGAAAAGCATTCATAACACCAAAATCATCATTGCGTAGTCGGCTTGCATTCAGCTTTAATACAACATCTGAATAATGAGTCATCTTTGCATTAAAAAGGATAGCTGCTTCAGATCTCGGGGTCGCCGGATGTCTGGTGGTTGTCCATGGAGTGCTGGGGGATTTCTAAGATGCATAATTTGTTGAAAATCGATCAATAAAATATCTCGGGAAAATACTATTGTATTATATACATATATAAATTGGGGGTAACCAACTCCAGCTCCGGTGCTGAATGATGTTTCCGACGCTGTAGACATTCGACTAGGCGTAGAAATAGGCATGCCTCTTGATGGCGTCCGAAAAGGAGCAGTGGTGCTAATATGTCTTATACTTTGATCACCCGCTGTGCTCGAACTGCTTACGAGTGGTTTATACTGGCCAAGTTCCTCGAAAATTTTATTTTTTGTTTTCTCCCAATCAAGGTTAAGTGATTTTTCAAAATCGTTGTAGTAGTCTTTAATAGTCTATTAATGTCATACATGATTTTTGTAAATTTAGGGAATGATCAAATCAGATATTTAGTTTTATTCAAACCTGATTATGGCCATCTTCTATTATACTCGATACTGTGCTCCTATATTTGTATTCAACATAACTCTGTAGAGTTGGAAAAAAAATCATGAAAAAATTACGCGTATTTCCACGATCTTAATCAAGATCAAAATGTGAATTAATTATAATGATACAATACCGATATGTCTGTTTCTGAGACAAGTTCACGCGGTTCAAAAGCACCCAAAACATTGATACTGCGTACAGCATTTTCTAGTTTCTCCCCGTCGATTCCCCATTTTGCTAGAAAGAAAGGTCTTAAAGAAGTAACAAAATGACAATAATATTAGCAATCATTACAAAAAAATAATTTCTTCAATGAAAGTAGATTTCAGTTTCGGTGTATAACACACAAAAGCTAATTGCCAAATCAACATAAAAAAACAACCTACGCTTTTTTCTCTGGTTGTTCTCCTGGTCTAGTTACTTTACTTGCAAATTTACGCGACTGTGTTTCTATCTCTTCTAAGTTTCGTTCTATGGGAGGTAAATCTTTTTTTGCAGAAACACTGTTAGCGAGGTTTCGCGATTGCTCCAAGAGCTGTTTTAACTGTAACGTTGTCGACATTGTGTAGATTACTATTTGTGAAATGAATTTTAAAAGATGGACTCCACCGTGAAAAGTTCTAACCACGTAATGTTAGTCCCGTGATTTTTAAGGGGTAAACCAATCAAATCGCAAGATCAAAGCAATATTTAAGTAATATTAAGCATATACAAAAATATGTGATATTATCATATCAAAGTTTATAAATTCTTGCCAGATCAAGATTCATAATTAGCTGATCAAGTTTTATTATATAAATATTAAATATATCTTTTAAAAATATATCTTTTAATGAAATCAAAACTAATTTACAAGAAAAAAAATTAAGATATATATAAAGAAGGGTGAATGTAATTGAAACACCCTGTTCTGAAAACAATCTTGGAAAATAACATTGGCTAAGGCCAGAAATTTTATTTTTATTTTATTAGTTAATTATATAACATGTGATAATCATGTGTATTTAGCAAATTTTATTAGATAATTGACTTAATAATGATCTTAAATAAACTATATTAGTTTTTAAAAGAATTAACAAGTAAATATATCTAATAATTTTGATATCTTGTATTATTATAATCTAACTGACTGCATATATTGCAAATATACTTTGCATAAGTCTTGTCTTTTTTTCTGTTACTAATTTATAATATTTTATTTCAGGATAATCTTTATATTATAATATTAACAAATTCTTAATTTATATAGATTGATTCTCTTTATCTGAGTTAATAAATTAATTATGATCATAATTATATTTATGATTATAATTTAATAATATTTTTATTAATTTAATTATTTTTTTATATTAAATAATAAATTATCTTAGTCATGTTATTATTTTATTATAATTATTATATTTAATGATAAATTGAGCTGCTTGCTATATAAATCTAAATATTTTATTATATTTAAATCTTTTTTATGTAATATAATATAAAATACATATCATAATCTTAAGTATAGTTGAGAAATTTGATATTAATATTATATTTAAATAATTTTTTATGAATTTTTCATTTATAAAGTAATAAGTTTTAGTAATTATATTATTATTTTTTTATTTATCAATATATTATTATAATATTATTATTTTAATATAAAATTCTATAATTTTTAAGTGTATTATAATTTGAAAATAATAATAATAAATAATATTATAAGATATATTAAATATACATAAATAAAAATAAGAGATAGAATTAATAATTATTATAAAATATAAATTCTTACTATTTTTAAATTATATATTTATATTTCTTATAAATTTTTTTTATCTTAATAATTATCAATTTTACTAAAATTTGCTTTATATTATACAAATTTTTAATAAATTTATTTAATATATAATCTAATACAAAAAGATTAGTATATTAGATAAATATTAATAGATTATTTTTTCAAAATAAAATTTTAATTTTGTCTTATTTAGTTAAGTTATTAAATATTGAGATTTATTTATTATATATTTTTTATAAAAAAATTTTACTAATAATAAACTTTTTTAAATTATTATTTCTTAAATTTTACTATATAAAATTTGATTAAAATTAATATA